AGTGACCCCCAAGGCTTGCGTTTGCCGAAGCAAGGCTCCCCAAGGTTCGCACTTACGTCTTTGAGCACTGGGCAATGCGGCATGTGACGTTTGCAGAAATGGTCTCGTTTGATGAACCGTCGATGACATATTGGAAGCACGTGATCCAATACATCGCGCAGGTAATAGGAAGTACAAATACCTGCCCGACAGCACAAAAGCTAAGAGCTAATCCCCAGGATACACCGGGGTAGATCCGATTACTGCGAACCCCTCCGCAAAGGACTACACCACTAGAGGAGGTGTCACACTAACGTATCCCAAATTTTCTAACTTTTGTTCAAGTACTAAGAGTCTGAAAGAGATCATGGTTAATCTTTTTTAACGTACTATGTCGATAAAAGCATAAAGACAGTATAATGTCAGAGGAATGAATCGTTTTACTGTTAGTTACCCGGGTCGAGGTTGTGGTTTTATGTTCAGAGAATCGCGACAAAATTTTGGTATTTCCAGATTTTGCGAACCGAGGCAAAGTGTCCGCGACCGGCGCGACTGAAGGAATGTGGAACCGCGACCGGCGCGACCGAAGGAAAATTAGTCGCGGTGGTCGAAAAATTAGTCGCGGTGGTCGAAAATTAGTCGCGGTGGTCGAAAAGTTAGTCGCGGTATAGTCGAAAAAATCAGTCGCGGCGGTCGAAAATGAGTCGCGGTGGCCGAAAAATTAGTCGCTGCGGTCGAAAAATTAGTCACGGTGGTCGAAAAATTAGCCGCGGTGGTCGAAAATTAGTCGCGACGGTCAAAAAAATAGTTGCGGCATGGTCGAAATATTTGTCGCGGTATAGCCGAAAAAATCAGTCGCAGCGGTCGAAAATTAGTCGCGGTGGTCAAAAAATTAGTCGCTGCGGTCAAAAAATTAGTCACGGTGGTCGAAAAAATAGTCGCGGTCGTCGAAAAATTAATTAGTCGCGACGGTCGAAAAAATAGTCGCGGACCTCAACTCGGTAGGCAAGATGCAGATTCTTTCAATGTTGAAAGTTAGTTTCCAGAGAAAGCAAGAATGCTCTGATGATGGCAGGACAAAGCACCCAGTGTTTCTACTGCTTTTAAACGTTTCTCGTTTCTAAGGAAGCTTTTGGCAAAAAAAATTCGAAATATAAAAATTTCATTTTTCTTAAATTTTTCCCCCGGCATAATGATAATTGGGCCGGCAAAATTCCCCCAGCAAAATGATGATTGGGCGTCTTTTCTAGCTATATTTAAAAAGCAATGTTTTTTTCATGGCTCAATTGCGCTTGGAACAACTTCTGAGCCAAATATTTCACTGCGTTAATAGAAATATGAATAATTCAAGCTCATTGATTAACCCAAATTGATCAAACTGATAGTCGTCGAACCCCCATAGCTTCACGAAAAGTTGTCGTAGGTGAAATTAATTAAAATTTTTGAGCTGAGGGTATTATTTTTTTCAAAAATAAGAAATCACAATCAAAAAAGGAGTAATACAAGACTGCTCGTATCAGACTGCCTTTTAAGGTTTATGGAGCAAAAGTAACAAAAAAATGTAATAAAAATAAAACGAAAAAAAAATTCTTAAAATTCAAATTTTTGTATGAAATCATCACCCCACACGCCATATAAAGTACAAAAGAATAGATTTCGCTCATTGCAACAAATCAATTATGGCAAATAAGCTTCTTTCAACCAAACTGGAACGAATTCTCAGACGGATCAAATCTCCGCTTACGCGTTAATAGCGCGAAATATATCGGGCGTTAATTGTCCCAAATTGGCCAAAATGGCAATCTTTAAAATCCCATAACTATACGAAAAATGATCACAAGTAAAACATTTTTTCAAATTTAAGCTCAGGACAACAATACCTTTTGAATGATATTAAAAAAATCCCGTCAAAAATAGCTAGTTTAAAAGTCGAAATTTGTCTGAAGAAAAAAAAACACCCGGAGCACAAATATTCCGTTACTTTCGTATCGAAAGTCGAAACAATTAGACAAAGACAATTAATAAGCTCAAATTTTTTGTTCAAATTCTACAGTCGCCTCTCGCCCATTTTATTTTCCACATAGTTTTTTGTCGGAAAAAAATCGTTTCTAGTAGTTTCAAAAAAGTATTTTAATATCAACGCATCTTGTTTTCGAGTTTTTCATGCCAAACACTGGCTAGCCCAATAGAGCTCGTACAACTTTTTGTTCGAGTATATCCATGCATAAAAGAAATCAAAGCGTTTTTAAAAATATGAATTGACTCACACACTGCCTCTCAAGTTTTTTTTAATGTTTTCATCGGATGGCGCGTAAGAGTCCATTCAGTCTTTTAATCGCAAGCTTTATTTTGCAATTGGTAAATATATATTTTCCGCTTTTAAGTGACAGTAGCGATTCACATGAACTTCGTAATAATTTCAAAGACAAGGTTTTTGCTTCATTTGTTCTTCCATTTTCTTCGCTATTTGTTACTTTTCTACTGGCTGCTTGAAACTTTCATCAGAAATTAATGGAAAAAATATTATAATGATTCGGTGATCCAAACTTTTATAACAAATCAGCAAGAACAGTTAGAAATTAAGAGGATGATGATTCATTTACCAAACTTGACAAACTTTCTAAGCAAGCAGGATTGATTACCCATTTGTACAATTCAAATTTAATAAATGAGAAAACAACACAGCTTGACATTTTGAAATCCTGTCGAAACCAAACCCGGATTAACGTCTCAATGCAAACTAGTACTTCCCAGTATTTGGTTCATGTAATGTTTCACCCAACTTTTTTTTTCTTCAATTTTTGTTCACCAAGTCCAATCTTCATGTTCCTCAATGTTCAATGTCAAAATGATTATTTGTTGAATTTTTGACTTCGTAAAGTCAAGGGTTAAATCGTTAAAACTACTTAAATCTGGGGTACAGGGTTGGTAGAAGTGCCTAGAATCTTTAAATGGTGTTCAAAATTTCAGATCTGTAACGTAGTTCGAACATAGGCAAATATGGGCCATCTATATTCATAGATTGAAACATGATTTAATACCACGGTGCTGAATCATTTAGTCACTTGAACTAATTATCATCGCTTCAGCGTTATGGTACCCTTTTTTGTATTTTTTTTTTCATTTTCGATTAAGCTTTGTCATATAATTATACGCTTCTCGCGATTGCACAGTTTTGTGCACTTAGCCAAACTCAGTGTTTTCAGGGTTTTCACTGATTTTGCAATGATCAGAATAAAAAGCCAAAAAAAAGAAGAATCTAGTGGTATGATATTTATCTCTGATTCATTTTCGGATCAAATTAAAGAGACACTTAACAGAGTTTGACGCAGAATGGAAATTACTGAAAAATAACTAATGGATACTGATTTGCATTGCAAACCCAATCCGGAAGAAACAACAATTTATCATGAAACGCTACTTGAAAACTTTGTTAATTCTACTTCTTGCTACAACCTTTATTCTGTTAAGAGTAATATTTGTTTGCGATTATACTGATGAAACGGTGAGTGAAATAATTTTTGAAATTTGTTCCTGCATTATCAATACCACTTCAGACTGCCTTTGAAGTCGATGGAAATGTTTTGGTTGAATAAATGATTTTTTTTTCAAATTTTAGCCGCAATACGTTGTTTAAAAACACAGTGATTGTTCCGACTTTCGATACGAAAGTAACGGAATATTTGTGCTCGGGGTGGGTTTTTTTTTCTTCAGACAAATTTCGACTTTTTAACTAGCTATTTTTGACGGAATTTTTTTATATCATTCGAAAGCCATTGTTGTCACGAACTTAAATTTGAAAAGATATTTCACCTGTGATCATTTTTCGCAAAGTTATGAGGGTTTAAAGATTGCCATTATGGCCATTTTGACCAATTTGGGACAATTAACGCGCGATATAATTCGCGCTATTAACGCGTAAGCGGAGATTTAATCCGTCTTATAAATCGTTCCAAATTGGTAGAACGAAGCTTATTTGCCATAATTGATTTGTCACAAGGAACGAAATCTATCTTTTTGTACTTTATATGGCGTGTGGGGGGATGATTTTCATTAGAAAATTTCAAATTTTCGAAAAAAAAATTTTCATTTTATTTTATTTCATTTAATTTTTTATGTTATTACTGCTGCTCCATAAACCTTAAAAGGCAGTCGGAACATTCAGGGCTTCGCCCTGATACGAGCAGTCTTGTTTGAGTTTGTGTCTCATTTCTACACATTCGGTTAATTTAATTCGCCACTTACGCTTTAATAAGAAAAAATATATCGCGAGTTCCGTAGCTCATTCTGAAATAGATTCGTCCAAATAGTCTGAAAGGAAAACTGAACAACTTTACAAAAATTTTTTGATTTTGATTTTGGGCAGCAAACCATTTACACTAAGTAAAAAGTTAAGTGAAAAAATCCTAGGTAAATTTGACTGGAGAAAAGAAGCCGATCGAGATCAAATATTCCATCAATTTTTTCGACTGTCGGAGCAGCGAAAGATAGTTTTAACCCGAAACACCGGCTTATTCTCAAATACCTAAGATTCGTAAAAGTTGATTTACAAAATTGAAAATCCAGATTGAGCAGTCAATCGTAATTATTTCATATTTCAGTTTCTTTGTTTTTTTGTTCTAAGGTATTGTTCACTGTTTCAATGTCCGCAAAATATGCTCAAGATTTTCACCTCAAGTACTTTTTTTCCAGGCCTAAGTGTTTCGACCATTTGAACAATTGGGAGGAACTTTGTTTTTCTAATTTTTTTCTTTTTTTTTCTTTTATTTTCCAAGATCAGCTACCACAAATTATCATAGAAGAGTGTTGTGTGAATTTTCATAATAAGGTTCTTTCATTCGAGATTCAAACGACATTAAGAAATTTTAACCCAAAAAAAACAGCGTTGAGAAAAAATATTGATTTTTTTTTTGATTTTTCGTTCAAATTTGAGCGATTAAAGCGAGCACGCAGGCTTGCAATAGCTTCTTATTTTAATGTTTTGAAAGCTTACAAAAGCTTAATTTAGGCCATACAATTTTTTAGTTTTACTCGATTAAAATTAATTTTTTTTGAGAATTTCAGCGTTTGTTTTGAATCATAAACTTCAAAAATTTAAAAACTACAAAAAAAATGAAAAAATTTTTGACATTTTTTATGATTGTTTTTTTTTTGTTTTTCCAGTCATTTTTCTACAAACCATGTTTTTCAATTTGATTATTTTACTACGAATATTCGCTATTCCTAACCTCTCGTTGAGTCAACTTTGAAAAAACATTCCACCTGTGATCCTTTCTCCTAAAGTTACGAGGGTTTAAATATTGATATTTCGGCCATTTTGGGACTTTTCACGCGCAATATTAAAGCGTAAGCGGAGATTCAATCCGTCTTAGAAATTAATCCAAATTGGTTGAGGACGCTTGTTTGCCATAAATGATTTGTTAATAGTAGCGAAACTTATCACTTTGTACTTTATATGACGAGTGGGGAGATGATTTTCACAAAATATTTTCATTTTAGTTTATTGCATAACTTTTTTTAAATTTTATTGCTACTCTATAGTCTTTAAAAGACAGTCTGAACATTTTTTTATCTCAGCATGCCAAACAAACGACACTAATTTGAAAAAAAAAAACTTTTTTATTGCTTTTAAGACTATGATCGGATCATTGGAACCAGTTTAAAGCTAGTACTTATATCCAATTTTATTATTGATAAAACTGTCTCTGTAAAATATATCTAACTATCCAATCATTATCCGTAACTAACACTTACAATCATTTGTAACGCTGAAATTGTCATAGTTTCAGCAACAGAGCAAAATAAACATTACTTGGAAGACAGCCGTTCTCCATCCGAACAGTTCCAGATATCTAACTCGCAAATACCAGTATACACTAGATACCAGTATTTGACTAGGAGATATCAGAGTAAGATTAAGATTGGTATTAGAATAAAAAATTGCACAAATCTATCCGGCCGAAAATAAGATAGCGTGACGAACAGAAGGTGTACCTTATCTGAACACTCCAAGAGTGAGCCAACTCGGACTTAAAATCATCTGATGCGAATAAGAGTCTCGAACAGACCTCTACAAGTTTAGATTTAACAAACACAAAATAGAAACAAGATAAAAAAAACACACCACAAATGTTAAACAGTAATGAAAACTTAATTAGCTTACCTCCACGTCTCAATAAGTCTAATCAGAAATCAAGCTTAGACCAGGTCAAAAACCAAACAGCAGTCCGAGCTTCTACACCGTGAAACGAAAAGGCAGACTGCATTTATTATTTCTCTACAACATTGTCAATGCTTTACTTTTTCATTCACTATTATGAATGACAAAACTTGGAGCAGTGAGATTCATTTCCAAGCTATTTACCTCCTTTTGATGTATAAGTAAAATTAATATAAAAACCAAAACCGATTTAGATCAGTCGTTTATTTTAAAAAGTCTGTGGGAACTTAAGAACTTAAAAACTATAATTTTAAAATTAATTCATTATGAAATACAAAAAATTATTTACTAAATATATTTAAAATAGTTTCATCAAAAAAATAAGAAATTCTTTGCTTCTCGAGGACTTCTGTCTTCTTTGCCTTTGCTTTCTTGTTTCTTCATCTAAAATATAGCACATAATCACTCAAGAAACTAATCTCATTTAAACTTTAAATTCTAACATTTTCCTAAATCTTTAAACTTTGCGCGACCCATGTTGCGAATTTGCGCGACTCATATTGCGACTTTGCGCGACCCAAATTTTAGCTATGTTGTGGCCCATGTTGAGAATTTGTGCGACCCATGATTTGACCGTGTTTGACTCATGATTCGACCCTGTTCGACACTATTGACCCTGTTCGACTCATGATTCGACTTTGTTCGACTCTAGTGTTTGTTCCACCGTCTCAATTTGCGACAAAAATTGGACTCCGATCGACCGTGTCGGTCGAATCATGAGTAGAACACCTCAGCCCAGAAAAAAAATTTAAAGTGGGAATACAGAATTGTTGAACCATTGATTTTTTTTCACAATTTTTACAAAAAATTTCATGCCGATATTAAAAAAAAACATCTTAAATAAAAATTGGAAAGATCAGGCAAGTTACCCTGTCAACGCCTTGACTCTAAAATGATACATTATTTTCAACTGATCTATTAAATGTGTGAGCAAACTTGCTTCAGAGAAGTATATATAAGCACAGAGTATATATATCAAAATCATGCATATTTAACAATCTTCCGCTCCTTCTAATATCTAAATTCGCTTCTTCCTCGGAAAAAAAGCTCCTCTAACAAAATGTGGTCAAAACCTTCTGTTCTAATAGCACACAAAAATATTGTCATTTTTCTTTCAAAATGGTTTCAAACTTAAAATAAGCAAATTTAAAATTAAAGTTGAGTTTTTCCTGAATTGGAAATAAATTTGAGTCCAGCGTGACGAGCAAAAAAACGAGCGCAAATGTTTTAGCGCAAAAAAACTAAAGCAAATTACAAGCACATTTTACAGTGATGATTTGAACTACTCTGACAAATTCAACAAATTTGCGCTTATAGAAAAATTGTGAGATCAGCTGGCCAAAAAAGGATGTTGTAACATATTTCAAAAAAGATAGCCAAAAGCCCGTAAAAGAAGCGTCGGTCCTCAACAAATCCTTCCGCGAATCGGTAACTATGATTTCTATAAATCATGTTTTGTCTTACTGAACTTTTACAGGCGAATCAGAGTTACTATTCAATTTTACTATTTATCATTTAATCTCTTTCTATGTCGCATTTTTTAATTTGTGTTAATTCATAAAAAGTACATGTCGCTTAGGCTTATTTTCTTCACAACCAGAGCTCGATGAGCCAAAATGCCGATTGCAACACAAATGATTCTTCGGCTGCAGATTTATTTGCACATATCTACCAGCAATCTCTTTGCTTACACCAGACAAAAATTGATGAAACCACGACTGAATCTATAAAATTCAATTCCAATTACAAAATTCTATCAAAATTCTATCACAAACTGCAATATAGTGATACTTTTTCAAAGAGAAGCCCCAGAGTTCTGCTAAAGTGTTTCGAGAAAAAGTGGCTTTGAGATGAAAATAAACCAAAGTTGTACTTAAAATGCTTTCGTCGCTATGGCACCATATCATGAAATCAAGTCATACATTTTGGCATTTCTCGAAACTCTGGTTCTACTTATAGTTCAACATTTCTGCACATGGTTTTATAGTGCACATTTTGTACACACAAATGTGGTTTTTGTTTCAAGAAACCGAATCGGACAAAACTCGCCACAGTAGCAAAAGTCAACCCGTTTTGTTTAGCCCTGACACTCCAACATAATTTGTTTTGCAGCTCCCTGTTTTTTCCGTGTTTTTAGGGTTCACTAGTTTTTTTACCCTTACTATATGGGATGCCAAAATACTTTAAATTTTTTCAACTGAAAGTCTTGATATAATTGCTTTCTCGCAAACTTGTTGGCCTAGATCGCGGACTTTATACCAAAAAACAGTAAAAAACAGTAAAAAACTACCTTATACCAAAAAAAAACAGAAAAAAACGATCTGATGTAAATTCTGTAACTTGAATCTAGAGCGAAAATTTTTGAAAATGGGAAAACAGAATTGTTTTTTGAAAACAGAATTTTTTTTCCTAATTTTCACAAAAGTTTAATGCCGATATTAGAAAAAAACAACCTATTTAAAAATCAGAAAGATCAGGCAAGTTACCCGGTCAACGCCCCTGACTCTAAAATATCACATTGTTTTTAACTGATCTATTAGATTTTTGAACAAACTTGCCTCAGAGAAGTATAAGCACAGAGTATACATATCAAAATGACGCATATTTAACAATCTTCTAAATTCGATTCTTCCTCAGAAAAAAGTTCCTCTAACAAATTTGATCGAAACCTTCTTTTCTATTAGCACACTACATTGTTGGCAGTTTTCTGCCACAATGGTTTCAAACTTAAAACAAGACTGCTCGTATCAGGGCGAAGCCCTGAATGTTCCGCCTGCCTTTTAAGGTTTATGGAGCAGTAATAAAATTAAAAAATTAAATGAAATTTTAAAAAAATGAAAAAAAAAATTTTCTAAAATTATTTATGAAAACCATCCCCCCACACGCCATATACAGTACAAAGAATCTAATTCGCTCCTTGTAGCAAACCAATTATGACAAATAGGCTTCTTTCAACCAATTTGGAACGATTTCTAAGACGGATTAACTCTCCGCTTACGCGTTAAAAGCGCGAAATATATCGCGCGTTAATTGTCCCAAATTGGCCAAAATGGCAACCTTTAAACCCCCGTAACTTTACGAAAAATAATCACAGTTGAAATATCTTTTCAAATTTGAGCTCAGGACAACAATATCTTTCGAATGATATAAAAAATTCCGTCAAAAATGGCTAGTTAAAAAGTCGAAATTTGTCTGAAGAAAAAAAAACCCACCCCGAGCACAAATATTCCGTTACTTTCGTACCGAAAGTCGGAACAATAAGCAAATTTGAAGCTTAAGTTTATCTATTCCTGAATTGGAAATGATTTTGAGTCCAGCGTGACGTATAAAAAAAACAAGCGCATATCTTTTAGCGCAAAGAACAAACAAGAGCAAAACACAAGCGCTTTTTACAGTGCTGATTTGAATTATTGTGATAAAATCAACAAATTTGCGCTTTTAGAAAAATTGTGAGATCAATTGGCCGAAAAAGGATGGTGTAAAACCTTTCAAAAAAGATAGCCAAATGCCTGCAAAAGAAGCGTCGGCCCTCAACAAATCCTTCCCAGACTCGGTAACCATGTTTTCTATAAATCATGTTTTGTCTTACTGAACTTTTACCGGCGAATCAGAACTTTTCAACTTTACTAATTATCATTTAATCTCTTTTTATGTCGCTTTTTCCAATTTGTAATAATTCATAAAAAGTACATGTCGTTTAGGCGTATTTTCTTCACAAACAGAGCCCGATGAGCCAAAAAGCCTATTGCAACACAATTAATTCATCAAGTGTCGGTTTATTCGCACATATCTACGAGCAATCTCTTTGCTTACACCAGACAAAAATTGATAAAACCACGACTGAATCTATAAAATACAATCCCAATTACAAAATTCTCTCACAAGAACTTGAATCAAACTGCAATATAATGATACCTTTTCGAAATGAAGCCCCAGAATTCCCCTCAAATGTTAATAGAAAAAGTGGCTTTGATTTAAACATAAACCGAAATTGTACTTCAAACGCTTTCGTCGCTATTGCACCATATCATGAAATCAAGTCACGTCTCTGGAATTTTTTGGAGCATTATGGACAAATCATGAGAAGAGAAGGGCGACTCAACTTACTAATATCTACATTATTTATGGACAAAGAAGATGTTCAGAAAGCAGCGGAAAGAAAACTATCACAAAGTGTCTTAGAAAGGTTTCATTTGGTGAGTAATTTGGTCTTTCTCGCTGTTTTTCAAAACTTTCCAGTACATTGCAAGCATAGGTTATCGGGATCAATTCCTGGTGGTTGCCTTTTTTTTTCATTTTTACAAATGCTTGTTGTGTGGTTTATTGTTTTTCTAAAAAAAGAAATTTATATAAAACACATTTAATACAATTTAATTACAATTTACAATTATTTAATTACAATTAAACTTTTTATTACAATTATTTAAGACAATTTAATACATAATTATTTTATGCTCAAATTTGTGTTTGGGTTTGGGCTTTCGATTTTTTTAAACTGCTCTCCAAGTTGATATTAAAGTAATTTTAGTCGCTGGCTTTCGAATCGATAGAGTAGTTTGCTTGAAAGTGACAGGTGAAAAGTTTTAAGAAATCTAAATTTCAGTTAAAAAACTTGCTTAAGAATAACATCTAGCAGCGAACCAATTCAAACTAGAAAGTTCTAATTACAGTTTTCAGCAAATCAATTCAAACTATGATTATATTTTCATACAAAAGTGGGTAACTTGAACTGCTTGCTGGTAACTTTTATTTTTGAGATCCAATCCAAACTTATCAAAAATTTTAAAACATTTCAAAGTTTCATTAAATAAAAATCATAAATTGTTTGCAATGTAGATTCCATTCCCTGTGAAATTTTCTATATTGACGACCAAACGAAATCTCATGGCGAGAACGCCGTGGAACTTTGCAGCCCGTTTTCAGGCGCCTCTGACCCTGATATGACTTTTGTTGGTTTTTAACATCGATAGTTGATCAATGAATTTTAAAAACGATTTAGTGAGAATGAAAAAAATTGAAGCAAATAGGGGGAAATTTCAGCAGTATACCTACCCCTGAGAGCAAAACGTCTAAAAATTCATGATTGAAGATTTGTAATTAATATTTTGTGCAGCTCTAAGCCCAGGTTACAAAATTTAGGTAGTATTTTAGAGCAAGGTGAAAAATTTTCTAATTACAACATTTATCGAAATTTTTGGTCATGTGGTCAACTGTATCAAGCATCTGGTCAACTGTATCACGGCTTTTTTAAGGTCAATGAACTTGCACTGTGTCTTCGTGCTTCTAGAGTTCCAATCTTCAATCATTTCTTCTATTTTGGTGATCAAAGCATCAATTGTACTCCTTCGAAGGGAGGTTTTAACTTTAGCAATTTTTAAATTGTCTGGAAAACTTGTCTATTGAAACATTTTTGTAAAACTTTGTCAAAACTGGGAGCAAAACTGGTCAAATCTTATTAAATATATAAAGAATAAATCCATTTGTATCTAAACTAAACTTGATTTTTAGTGATTCGATTGTTTGATATTTCATTTTGCGTTATATCTGCTAAAAACATTGATTTAATTTGCTTTCTGACTCTTAATTCTTTCAAAATATTAAAAGTCCTCTGCAACATTTGCTAAAAACCGGTTGAATTCGTCAACCTTTATGCTCTTTTTTCCTTGTCGTTGTTTTTAGTAGCTCATGTTAGATTGTTATACTGTTGAATATTCGTTGAATTAATTGTTTTGGAAGGTTTCATCATTTTCAACAAAATCTTCTTGAGTTTTTTTCAATTTGAAATGGTCTGCTTTGAAAAATTTATCTCTTTCAAAATCATTAAGCTGTCAAAAAGACTTAAGCTGTTCTTGTACTATGAGATGAGGATCGGTGGTGAAAGGGCAGCATCGATGAAAGGGTTACGTCTTCACCTGTTAATTGAAAGGTTCCGTGATCCATACCCGTTGCTTGATGGTGAGGCAACATTACCCAGCTAAGAAAAATAATCAAAAAATTGTATGCACGCAGGGTCAAAACAGCAGTTCTGCGTGATGAGCAGTGTTATAGTCATTTCTCTTGGGGACAGGGGTGGATATAGAATTTTCTAGAGGGGGCGATTTTTCAAAAATATTTTGTCAAATTTTTTAGGTCAACCAAATTGGTTTTCTGAGCTTTCCCAAATCATTATAAAGCAGGCAAATTTTTTGAAAAAACAGGCCAGAAATAGCGTTTCTAGGCACTTTTTGGAAAATGTTGGCCGAAAAATAGCGTTTTCTAGCGCGCGCTCCCCCTCAAAATTAGTTTATTTTGGTGACGAAGGCGCATTCAAAAAAAATTTAGGGTCAGTCATCCAAAAACTGATATCTCAAAATAGTTCAAAAGGGGACCATTTGGGTCGGCAGGAGGTCGAATTTCTGAAAGTCGAATCCCCCCGCCACCCACAATAAATCTGCTGGTGCTTGTGGATAAATCGTTCCAGCGGAAAAAATTTTTAACAGAAACTACAAACTTGCAAGCCGAGCTAGCCCATCAAATAACTTCTACAATTATTTTAAAAGTTTAATCATTGAAAAGCTTGCTTGAATCTTTTTTCAATGTGGTTTGAGCTTTGAGAAATGTAAGAAACTTCATGAAATATAGCACAAGAGATGTTTCATAGTTGGCTTGGAAATTTCCCCTTCTTGCAAATTGATTCGAATTGATTAACAACTAAAAAAACTAATTGATTCACACTTAAATTTTACTTAGTTTTTTAGTTTTTGAATAAATGGCAAATCAACCTGTCAAATTTTTTCGATGCAAGTTTTGATCATCCGAAAAGTTGGCTTGAAATCTGTAATTTTTGCTTTCGATTTGAACCAATAAAAGTTTTCTAAAAATTCAAAAACAGAGCCTTTTTCAAATCAAGTCAAGATAGCAAAACACATTAAATGAACAAAATTTCATCTTGTGAATAGCTTGCTGAAAATCAGATTTTTTCGCTGCAATTCAAGCTATTCAAACGTCATGAAATCTATCAAAGAATAATTTTTTGGAAAACTTGTTCAAATGATCAATTTTTTCAAAAATTGTGGAAAATTATTTCATCTATCTTTTCAAGAGATGTGCAGGTTTGTGATTTAAAAAGCTGATCTAATCAACCTAGTTTTTTGCAAACCGATTGAAATTATATAACAATGTGTAAAACTTCATTGTTTCATTGTTTACTTAGATTTTGAAGCCATTCTGAAGCCATTAGTCATTTCAATGAGCTGCGTGATCATTCAGATATAGAGAACCAAATAAATTCATCGACAGATTGAATCAAGTCATTCTTTGAGTCATTGAGTACTTTTTTGATACTTTATCTTGAGAACCATTATAAGCTATCATGCCAGAACAAAAAAAAGTCAAATTTCATTGTTAAAACTGTTTGCTTGATTTTTTTTTCGCGCATTTACTTAATCGACGATCAGATCCCTCTCTGAATTTTTCATAATTCAATCTTTCGAACAGCTTTGAATGCGGATTAACTTTTCTGTGTTCTTAATTTTAGTTGAAGTTCATTCAAAAATCAATTCGGATAGCTGACAGAAAATTTTGAAATCTATCCAGGCGGCTCTAGCTATCCATACTTTAGTTTGATTTTGTTTTGAAAATTCACTAATTAGTTTTCTGAAAACCCTGTTTTGTTGAATAACATTCCAGTTTCCAAAAAAAAAAAATCAAAAGTTTGTTTTTGAATAATTACCATAGAAAAGTTATTTTTGTTCCTTGATTCAGGCTGTAAGATTCAACTTGAATTGCCTAACAAATCATTCGCTGAATCTTTTGCTCGAAAATTAGTTCGATGGGCCTGTCAGCTTAAGTTAATTAGATATCATCAACAAAAAATTGAATGAAATTTGACCAAAATTTTTTTTAAGGTTTGCGTAAAAATCCACCAACGAAAAGTCTAATTTTTTTGACAAACTCGAGCTCCTGCTTGTCTGCATAACATCACAATAGATTTGCTAAGCGATTGGTGTTCAGTGTTTTTCAAGTACTTGGCTTTCACTTCCTTTTTTGAGCTGGCGCTCATATGCGAAACATCACAATAGGAATGCTAGCAGTTGCCCTTCCATATAAAAGAAAGAAAAAAAAAGAATTGAGTTACACAATGCTACATTTGTTACACCACTTAGGGTAGTAGTGTATTGTCCACCAAGTAATTGAAGACATAAGGTGGAGTTGTTCTATTGTTCATTTAAGATTGATCGGTTGATCGCTACGAAATAGACACCTTACCAATCGTGTCTATTGTTTTTATCAGTTTTCCGGTGCTAAAGCTAACTCACTCTTTTTAAACTATTGAAAGATTGTAGTTGCTCAACAATCTATTATTATCATAACTACTTGTTAACTTTACTTATAATTCAACCGTATTATTAGTTCAGTTTTCAGATAGAGTTAAGGGAATATCACAACTTCAAAATGTCCATCTGTTTTTTTTTGTTTTGAGTTTTATACACAATATATAAATATTGCTTTCATGTTTCCTACAGATTGTATATAGTTTACTTAAATATTGATCTTTTCACTTAGATTTTCATTCTGATGTTTGAACGAAACAAATTGAGCAAACAAATTGAACGAAACAAATTGAAAGTTATGTCAAAATGTAGTAATACAAATAATTATTTTGATCTGGTATTCAGGAGATGTGCACCTACTTGATTCCAAAAGCTGATCCAATCAATCTAGTTTTTTGTACACCTATTGCAACAAAAAGCAATGTTAAATAACTTAATGTTTGCTTGCTTAATAAGCTTTTCGAAAAAATGTTCAGAAATGATTCAAGCTACCAAAAACACACAACCAGTTTCAATTTTACTCATTTAAATCAACTGCGTGATCTTTGAGCTTTATTCGGACCAAACAGGTTAATTAACTTAATAAATTTGGTCAAAATTTTTTTCTTTGAGTACTTTGTTGGATACTTCAACCTGACAATCATTTTAGGCTATCAGACCAGAAAAAAAAAGATATTTCAAGATATTAACTTTTGATGCTTGAACTCTTCTTGCTCATGTATTCAAGCAATCAAAACTGTCTCCGAATCTTTCAAAGTCAAATTCGTTAACCAGCTTGTCTTGGAATTGATTTTTTGTCTTTTATATTTTTAGTTGAATTTCATTCGGAATTTTTTCATTCGGAATTCCAATCAATCTAGTTTTTTGTACACCTATTGCAACAAAAAGCAATGTTAAATAACTTAATATTTGCTTGCTTAATAAGCTTTTCGAAAAAATGTTCAGAAATGATTCAAGCTACCAAAAACACACAACCAATTTCAATTTTACTCATTTGAATAAACTGCGTGATCTTTGAGCTTTATTCGGACCAAACAGGTTAATTAACTTAATAAATTTGGTCAAAATTTTTTTCTTTGAGTACTTTGTTGGATACTTCAACTTGACAATCAATTTCGGCTATCAGACCAAAAAAAAGATATTTCAAGATATTAACTTTTGATGCTTGAACTCTTCTTGCTCATGTATTCAAGCAATCAAAACTGTCTCCGAATCTTTCAAAGTCATATTCGTTAACCAGCTTGTCTTGGAATTGATTTTTTTGTCTTTTATATTTTTAGTTGAATTTCATTCGGAATTTTTTTTGGAGAATTGACTGAAAATTTTATCAAAGCAGCTCTGGCTATCAAAAGGGTGACTTAGTTTTTCTTGAATGCTCAGTGTTTCGTTTGCTCAAAAACACTAAATGTTACAAACAAAGCCACTTCCCAAAAACAACTTGAAAAAAATCAAAAATTCAAGTTTTTGAAAAGACTGCAAGAACAAAGGTTAATTTATCTGTCATGATATAAGCTAAAAAATCAACTTGAGATGTTTAACCAAATCGTCCGCTGATTTTTTTTGGTTTAAAGCTTGTTTGACGGGACTGCCAGTTTAAACTGACCGGATATCCTTTACAAAAAATTGAATGTATTTTGACCAAAAATTTTGTAGAAAGGCGAAGCGGAGCGTCGCATCAATAGCAATACAACGCAAGCAAAATATTGCATGCTAGCGAAAACAAATTGACGGAAGTAACAAAATTGAAAAAATATATGAGCATTCTATATTTTTTTAACGAGCCACCACTAAGCCGACAAAAGATTCATCGAGCCAAAAATAGCCACTCTAGGTCGCTCATTGAGCCGGAGAAAAACAAATTGACATTAGAAATCATTGACATAAAAAATTTTTGAACAATTATGTTTTAAAACTTTGATTTTTTGCAAGACAAATATTTTTATTTTTTTTTTCAATCACCACAAACATCAAAAGCAAGAACTGCCAAAATTGTTAAATTTTGTTTTAAAAAATTCAATTAAAAAACACGACAAGCGTGACAATCAAAATCAACAGTTGCATTAAAAAAAATTGCTTAAAAAGTCTGCAGTTATTGAGCAGACACCCGTTTAGCCAAAAAATGTTCTATAAAGGTTTTTTGAACAATTATTTTACCTCTTCAGATGACTCTCGCTAATAGCAAAATTGTTTCGCTCATCAAACGAGGCAATATGATGCTGTTAAAAGAAATAAGTATAAGCCAAGAAAATCGAACCTTATGAGAAAACTGAGTAATGAAAAAACAAGAAAAACAAAAATCAAAAGGAATCAAACCAAATGGAGTTGATGAATTTAAAACCAAAATCAGTTACAAATATTGAAAAGAAAGGGTATTTGAAAAACATGTCGGTTGATTGACATAAAAGACGATTTGAGAAAAGTATTCAGTGATTTTGTAGACAATTTGATTACAAAAAGCAGCCTATAACCCAAACTGATAACGCTTTTTTTAATTTTATTGAAAAATTTCAAAAAAATAATTAAAACTAAAGTTCTGCAAAAGTTTCTAAAAATAAATCAGAAAATGAGTGCTGAAGAACTTCATTTATACAAACTCTAAAAATTTCCCAGTAAATTTATTCGCAGTGACACTCGGGAAGTTAATCAGATCCAATGAACTCAAATCACGTTATAATCGCCAAGGAGCATAGAAATTAGTAGTCAACTCTAAAAAAAATCGTTCGTTTTCAATTTTGACTAGAATTGCACAATTGTCTCACAAATTTTTTCTGACGGTTTTCGGAGTGCTTTGCGAAATAACACAAAACGAAATTATCAACTTTCTCTACAACTTTTAGAGACTACAATAATGAGGAATATTGAATAAGTAAAAAAATATATAATCCTTTCTCATCGTTTCAGTTTTTTCCAATCGTAACAATCTCATCAAAATTTGTCGATAAAAAATTTAAACATTTCATTACTTTGAAAATTGAGTATTGTAAAAATAAGTATCCCTATAGTACTACACTACAAACCTTAATAAAAACTGGTCTTTTTGCGCTCAAAGATGTCAGCAAAAAGGCATGATTTTTTTTTAATGACGATCTACCAGACTGTGTTCGTTTGAGATGATTATTCGAAATAGTTACTTGGCTGATTGTATACTTATACCGGAAACATTTTTTATGATTGTTATAGATAACATAGGGGAGATTGGTAAGTAGATCCAATGTATATTACTATTTAAAAATTGAAAAATTGAAGGAAAAACCTATTCAGAAAAATGTCAAGAAAAGCATTCATCAGCATGAGAAATTAATATTTGCCGAGCCTAAGCTAAGCCGACAACATGTGGGTGGACGCTTGTTGAGCTGAAAGTAAGCAAATGCCATAAAAAGCAGCTGTCATAGACATTTTTTTGACCTGATCACTTTTAAGACTTCTCTCACAAACTTTTTTTGACGGTTCTTGAAGTGGTTTGCAAAATGACACGAAATGAAATTATCAACTTTCTCTATAAGTTTTTAGAGACTACAAAATAGGGAATTTTGAGCTATTAAATTTTTAAAAGTCTTTTCTCATAGTTTCGGTTTTTTCCAATTGTATCAATTTCATCAAAATTTAACTCGAAAAAATTTAAACATTGCATTAGTTTGAAAATTGATTATCGTAAAAACAAGTATACCTTTGACACTACACCGCAATCCTTAAAAATCTTTTGTCTTTATGCGCTCAAAGATGTCTTAAAAAAGGCATGATTTGTTCAATGACGATCTACCACACTGGGTTTGTGTGAGATGATCATTCAAAATAGTTACTTTGGTGATTGCAGACTTATACTTGAAACATTTTTTATGATTGTTATAGATAACATAGGGAAGATTGGTGAGTACATCCAATGTGTATTACTATTTAAGGTTGAACTCTAGTAGCTCTAGTAGCAGTTGAAGTTTATTGCCTCGAATATCATAATTACCTCGGCGCCTAAAATCGATCAAAAGATTCTTTAAAATAAACCAAAATATCAGATCAAATAATTAATGTGTTATCATGCGCATGCCGTAAAAAGCTGAGTGGATACTCTAATGTATGAACGTAAGAAAAGACTGACGGCGCAACTTAAGACAAGACTTCAGCGGCGCGACTTAAGAGAAGACTTAAGCGGCGCGACTTAAGAAAAGACTTAAGGGGCGCGACTTAACATAAGACCGACGGCGCGACTCAAGAAAAGACTTAAGATAAGCAACTTAAGAAAAGACCTTAAAGGCGCGACTTAAGAAAAGACTTGAGCGGCGCGATATAAGATAAGACCGATGGCGCGACTTAAGAAAAGACCTTAAAGGCGCAACTCAAGATAAGACCGACGGCGCGACTTAAGAAAATACTTTTGGTCGGTTTATTCTCAGTCACGCCGGTCTAAAAATGAAAATTTTTAGACGCGCTGGTCGCGCCATTATCTTAGGTCGCGCCGGTTTCGACGGTGTTTTGCGTCGCGCCGGTCGCGGTGGTTTTTTTTAGTCGTGCCGGTCTTCAATTGCCAAGTTTCGGTCGCGCCGGTCTGGAATTGCCAATATAAAGTCACGCCGGTCTGGAATTGTCAAATTTGAGTAGCGCCGGTCTTTTCTTAAGTCGCGGACTTCGACCCGGGTAGTGAATATTGGTATTTTCCTAGGATGTTTTCTGAATTTCTAAAAGTAAATCAGAAGTATTTTGTAATTTATTTTAAGCTTTAGGGCTGAAGCAATTTTGAAACTATTCATTTAATCATAACATTGAAATACCTTTTCAGGTCTCAGATAAAGTCGAATATATGTCGCGAGGCCGACTGAGGAACAATGGAGCGAAAGAGGCCATCAAAAAATTCGGCAGCAAAGCAACGCTTCTCTTCACCGACATTGACGTTTTCAGTACCATTGAATTCCTCCAGAGATGCCAGAGTTACTCAATCCAGACCCACAGCGTCTATTTTCCAGTAGTATGGAGCGAAAAAATGCCCAAAAATGAGTTCAATGATTCTTTACCAAAGGTTAGCGGGTTTGATTTAGGTATCACAGAACACAAACTGAACCGCTCATTGAAAGAGCGAGGTTTCTGGCGCCGGTTCGGCACTGGAATGTCGTGCATGAAAGGTTCGGATTTCCAGAACCTTGGCGGGTTCCCAGAATATCTTGGATGGGGTAGCGAAGATACGACTTTGTACCGAAACGCTTTAAATAGTGGTCTATCTGTACTAAGACTTGAAGATAGAGGATTAATCCATAAATGGCACCCAAAAAACTGTACCCAAGAATTTGCTACAAAAGCCCTCAAAAGCAGCGACTTGTCCTTGGATCGAATAAGACATTGTAAAAACGTGAATAAACAACATTTATGATAGTTTATCCAAGTATATAAGTATATAAGTTCTATTTGTTTTTATGATTGTTCAGTTCTGAGCCAAGAGGTGTTTTTATTCCATTCAGTTGCTATTTCTGTCAAATAAAAAGTGAAATATTTGTTTCTATCAGAAATAAAAAGTTGATGCATTCCCTTAAAGCCTAAAAAGACCCCGTTTTGGCCTAAATTTCTGCGCCGCAGGCAAAATTTTGAAAAAATACGCCAGAATTAGCGTTTTTAGGACTTTTTTTAAAAAACTTTACAAAAAAAATTGCGTTAGGAATCATAGGAATCAGAAAAAGCAAAGTATAAATGTGAATTATTTTTTTGAAATGTAGTTTAAAGTTTCATGCTGAAATGGCAATGGTTGATCTAGTTCTGCACTAGTGCCAAACTTGTGAAACTTATCACACGAACATATTAATCAGTTGTCACTAATATGCAAGCATAAAAAATAGCAGGTCTGTAGGTATAAGCTCTTGAAAATTAACTAGGCGTAATGATATTTAACAGCGTGTCATTTTTTCATCAATTTTGCTTAAACAATCCAATAATTGGGCAGCTTTTCTGAAAACTGAGGGATGCCCTTACTTTCATGGTTGTGGCGTTTGTTGGAAAACACCCAAATTATTTCTGGTTGCTGGTATGAAAACGTTTCATAGCATGTCAAGGTTTGTGATAAGATAAGGCTACCACGTTAAATTTTTAGTATCAAATTTTTTACATTTTTTTCGAGCTGTCGTTATACAGTGCTGATTTAAATTAACCGGACAAAACGCCTTAAACTTGAAATTTAAAACCCGTTTTTTTTTTCAAATTGGGTTGAGTTTAGGTGAAAACTTATGAATACAAAATTTGCTTAAAATTTTAGCAGAATTATAATGGTGTAATTTGTTCTGCGAATTTCGGGCCCGAAATTTTACCCCAAAAATGGGTCATTTTGGCTTTTCTTAGTTATTCAAAAATTACGCCGAAAATACCGAGTCGATCACAAACATAATTATATCAAAGTGAGTCCCTTACGTAGCCCAATAAACTTTATGCAGGGTATAATCTCAAAAATATTGTATAAGTTAATTTATTTTTGTTTGATAGACAAAAAAGGTCATTTTCACTATATAAAATACCAACTTTTTATTTAAAAACAATTTTTAAACAAATTGCAGTTATTTTGGAGAAAATACCCTCAATAAAATATTGTTGGGCTACGTAAGGGGCTCACTTTGATTTAATTATGTCTGTGATCGACTGAGTTTTGCAAAACAAATTACACCGTATTAATTCTGCTAAAGTTTTGTATTCATAAGTTTTCACCTAAATTCAACCCAATTTGAGAAAAACGGGTTATAAATTTCAAGTTTAACGCGTTTTGTTCGGTTAAATTAAATCAGCACTGTATGGGTGAAGTGTTTCATCAACATTTTTTAACTGTTAAGTTTAAAGCTTAACTAGTTAAAATTTGGCTCTGAGTAGCGAATTTAATTTAAAATTAAACCTAAACTACAAGTCAAACGTCTAAATCATAATAATTGGACCTTTTTAAACAACACGATTTTCACCACAGTGACCAAAAAATAGTTTCGCATCATTTGTGATGCGCAACACAAGCGCAGCGTTTCAAACTAACGAATAAAAAAAAAGGCAAAATATAATTCAGAACATTTTTTTTTGAAAAAATAGAAAAAAGAATTCAGAAAAATATCGAGAAACGCATTCATCAGCTTTAAAAATTACTGTTTGCCGAGCCTACACTAAGCCGACAACATGTGGGTGGACGCTTGTTGCGCTGAAAGTAAGCAAATGCCATAAAAAGCAGCTGTCATATACATTTTTTTGACCTGATCACTTTTAAGACTTCTCTCACAATTTTTTTGACGGTTTTTGAAGTGCTTTGCAATATGACACGATATGAAATTATCAACTTTCTCTATAATTTTTTAGAGACTAAAAAATGGGAAATTTTGAGCTACTAAATTTCTCATAGTTTCAGTTTTTTCCAATTGTATCAATCTCATCATAATTTAACTCGAAACTATTTAAACATTGCATTAGTTTTAAAATTGATTATCGTAAAAATAAATATATCTTTGACATTACACTGCAATCCTTAATAAAATTTGGTCTTGTTGCGCTCAAAAATGCCTTAAAAAAGGCATGATTTGTTCAATGACGATCTACCACACTGGGTTTGTGTGAGATGATTATTCAAAATAGTTACTTTGGTGATTGCAGACTTATACTTGAAACATTTTTTATGATTGTTATAGATAACATAGGGAAGATTGGTGAGTACATCCAATGTATATTACTATTTAAGGTTGAACTCTAGTAGCTCTAGTAGCAGTTGAAGTTTATTGCCTCGAAAATCATAATTACCTCGGCGCCTAAAATCGATCAAAAGATCCTTTAAAATAAACCAAAATATCAGATCAAATAATTAATGTGTTATCATGCACATACCGTAAAAAGCTGAGTGGATGCTCTAATGTATGAACCTAAGAAAAGACTGACGGCGCAATTTAGGGCAAGACTTAGGCCGCGCGACTTAAGAAAAGACTGACGGCGCGACTTAAGAAAAGACTTAAGCGGCGCGACTTAAAAAAAGACTTCAGCGGCGCGACTTAAGAAAAGACTTAGGCGGCGCGACTTAAGAAAAGACTTGAGCGGCGCGACTTAAGATAAGACCGACGGCGCGACTTAAGAAAAGACTTAAGATAAGCGACTTAAGAAAAGACCTTAAAGGCGCGACTTAAGAAAAGACTTGAGCGGCGCGACTTAAGATAAGACCGATGGCGCGACTTAAGAAAAGACCTTAAAGGCGCAACTCAAGATAAGACCGACGGCGCGACTTAAGAAAATACTTTTGGTCGGTTTATTCTCAGTCACGCCGGTCTAAAAATGAAAATTTTCAGTCGCGCTGGTCGCGCCATTACCTTAGGTCGCGCCGGTTTCGACGGTGTTTTGCGTCGCGCCGGTCGCGATGGTTTTTTTTTAGTCGTGCCGGTCTTCAATTGCCAAGTTTCGGTCGCGCCGGTCTGGAATTGCCAATATAAAGTCACGCCGGTCTGGAATTGTCAAATTTGAGTCGCGCCGGTCTTTTCTTAAGTCGCGGACTTCGACCCGGGTAGTGAATATTGGTATTTTCCTAGGATGTTTTCTGAATTTAGCGGCGCGACTTCAGCGGTGCGACCTAAGAAAAGACTTAAGCGGCGCGACTTCAGAAAAGACTTAAGCGGCGCGACTTAAGATAAGACCGACGGCGCGACTTAAGAAAAGACTTAAGATAAGCGACTTAAGAAAAGACCTTAAAGTCGCGACCTTAAAGGCGTTCCAAACATAGCATGCACGTGTGAATACAGCCTGCTGCAGTGAAATATTGGTTCTTATCAGAAATAAAAAATGTATGCATTCCCTTAAAGCTTAAAAAGACCCCGTTTTGGCCTAAATTTCAGCGCCGCAGGCAAAATTTTGAAAAAATACGCCAGAAATAGCGTTTTTAGGACTTTTTAAAAAAAAACTTTACAAAAAAAATTGCGTTAGGAATCATAGGAATCAGAAAAAGCAAAGTATAAATGTGAACTATTTTTTTGAAATGTAGTTTAAAGTTTCATGCTGAAATGGCAATGGTTGATCTAGTTCTGCACTAGTGCTAAACTTGTGAAACTTATCACACGAACATATTAATCAGTTGTCACTAATATGCAAGCATAAAAATAGCAAGTCTGTAGGTATAAGCTCTTGAAAATTAACTAGGCGTAATAATATTTAACATCGTGTCATTTTTTCATCAATTTTGCTTAGACAATCCAATAATTGGGCAGCTTTTCTGAAAACTGAGGGATGCCCTTACTTTCATGGTTGTGGCGTTTGATGGAAAACACCCAAATTATTTCTGGTTGCTGGTATGAAAACGTTTCATAGCGTGTCAAGGTTTGTGATAAGATAAGGCTACCACGTTAAATTTTTAGTATCAAATTTTTTACATTTTTTTCGAGCTGTCGTTATACAGTGCTGATTTAAATTAACCGGACAAAACGCCTTAAACTTGAAATTTAAAACCCGTTTTTTTTCAAATTGGGTTGAGTTTAGGTGAAAACTTATGAATACAAAATTTGCTTAAAATTTTAGCAGAATTATAATGGTGTAATTTTTTCTGCGAATTTCGGGCCCGAAATTTTACCCCAAAAATGGGTCATTTTGGCTTTTCTTAGTTAATCAAAAATTACGCCAAAAATACCGAGTCGATCACAAACATAATTATATCAAAGTGAGTCCCTTACGTAGCCCAATAAACTTTATGCAGGGTATAATCTCCAAAATATTGTATAAGTTAATTTATTTTTGTTTGATAGACAAAAAAGGTCATTTTTACTATATAAAATACCAACTTTTTATTTACAAACAATTTTTAAACAAATTGCAGTTATTTTGGAGAAAATACCCTCCATAAAAGTTTGTTGCGCTACGTAAGGAGCTCACTTTGATTTAATTATGTCTGTGATCGACTGAGTTTCGCAAAACAAATTACACCGTATTAATTCTGCTAAAGTTTTGAGCAAGTTTTGTATTCATAAGTTTTCACCTAAATTCAACCCAATTTGAGAAAAACGGGTTATAAATTTCAAGTTTAACGCGGTTTGTCCGGTTAAATTAAATCAGCACTGTATGGGTGAAGTGTTTCATCAAAATTTTTTAACTGTTAAGTTTAAAGCTTAACTAGTTAAAATTTGGCTCTGAGTAGCGAATTTAATTTAAAATTAAACCTAAACTACAAGTCAAACGTCTAAATCATAATAATTGGACCTTTTTAAACGACACGATTTTCACCACAGTGACCAAAAAATAAATTCGCATCATTTGTGATGCGCAACACAAGCGCAGCGTTTCAAACTAACGAATAAAAAAAAAGAGGCAAAACATAATTCAGAACAATTTTTTTTGGAAAAATAGAAAAAAGAATTCAGAAAAATATCGAGAAACGCATTCACCAGCTTTAAAAATTACTGTTTGCCGAGCCTACACTAAGCCGACAACATGTGGGTGGACGCCTGTTGAGCCGAAAATAAACAAATGCTATGAAAAGCAGCTGTCAAAGAATTTTTTTTGACCTATTCAATTTTAAAACTTGAACCAGAGCCGAACTGAATTATATTAGCAAAAAAGAATCATCACTTGTAAATAGAAAAACAAAAATAAGTTCACAAAGCCAATAAAAACCAGCCAAAAATTTTTTAAGGAATAAATAATTTTAAAACTTATTCAGAATTTGAGTTGGCAGATTGAGAAAGTAAAGGGACGATAGATAATTTTCAGTTATAGTGAAGATTTTTTAAACTAAAAAACGTCCATGCTATGGAAATTGAGTCGTTTAAGATGAATAGACAAAGAATATCGGAAATTTTTTTCTCAGAAATAATTTCAACTTCATACCTTCCAAAAATAAAGAATGGCCGACCGATACTCGAACCTGAAATCTTAGGGAGAAAACGCAACAGCGTTACCTCTGGCAGCGGATCTGATGAATCTTATTTTTCAAAAAAAATGCCCGTTTGACTGGCAAAACTATAAAAACTAATTTTTGCAAGATAGCAAATAGAAATACAGACGCAACTCGATCTTTTTGAAAAAAAATTAACTGAAAGAAGTCGAAAAATAAAACATTTACAAAGCATAAATTTGTCCCTGGTGATAATTATAAATGGCCTTAAAAAGTATTTGAAATCTTGTACCGAGTGGCAACTAAGTCAAATAGACTTAGATTGGCTCCCAGTAAACCAAAAACAAAGTTGTTGTCGCAAAAAACGTTTGAATTATGAAGTTTTGGAACCTAAAGTTTGTAGGACCCATTAGTTTTGGAGGGTTCAATTTCAGTCAGCTGGTCTCAAGTTAAACTTCCGATCACTGATGTCCTATATCTACTAGCAATCAGACATGGCAATGGACCGACATTTTGCGATCCATGCACGGCCCGCGATCGAACTTTTTTGTCTAGTCTTGGCCCATTGGGATGATTTTTTTGGCCCGTTGCGGACCGATGGGTAATGCACTGCTGAAACATAGTTCAGAGGGAAAACTTATAATCAAAGCAGAATCTTATCATCACAGTAACATTATCACAAAATAGCATATAATCACGGTACATTGGTAGCAGACAAATCAAGTAGTGCGCCGTTTACTCTGTCAAAAACTTCGGCCCATTAAAGACACTGAGGCTTCAGCCCGAGTTTAGCCCGTGCCAGTGGCGGCGCGGCCCATTACCATGTCTGCTAGCAAGCCATTCAATTGATTTGAACTAAAATTGTTGAAAAAGCTAAACTTACATTGAGCTTGCAATTTGACTTCCAAAATTCCGTTGAGAGCTTCTTATCCAAACTATTCAAGCGATGGAACTTTGGAAGCTTGTTGTGATAGGTTGCATTGCATTACTACGCAAAAACGCTTTCTCCGAGCAATTTTGCAAGCTATAACTAGAAGAAACGTTTTAGACTGTTGTTTTTACTTGGCAATTATTTTCAGGCGATGAACCGTTTAAATATTTTTTAGCGAGCTTGCGGTGTATAGTTTTACTCCGAATTTCCCTCCCTGAATTCACATAAATAAATGCTCTTTTTGATGCGAAACTTTGCTACGTGGTAAATTAAAAGCATGGTTAATCTTAGGAGTATTATAGGCTAAATAAGCGTTGGCGGGACAGTTGTTTAGACATGGTGTCTGGAGATGGTGGGTTTCGACTTCCGTTGACGTCAGTTTGTTCATAGCACATTCATGAAGTTTTTTCCTGCTGTTTTTTTGTGCTATTTGGCGCTTACAAGGTGCAGCTTGATCTGTTTAAATCAGTTCGCCACTGTTATTATCAATTTTTCCCGAGCGAGTTTTTCGATGAACAAAATCTTGAGATTTGTCTATCAGTTCTTTTGATAGCTCTAAACTCTTTGCTAATTTTGTTTTTCACGCCATCGTTGCAGGTGATGAAACAATGAACATAACCAACTGACAGTTGGAAAGGGCAATGAACGCAAGGAAAAAAATCTGAACAAATATATGCCCTTAAGACTCTTTGAATTTCACGAACTATGTTGAACTATGTATACAACAGTGTAGTTTGCCGTTTTTTCAACAAAGAAAATGAAGTGAATATTAAAAGAAATCAAGTCAAACCTCGAATCAGAATTGAGCATAAACAATTTTTTAGATTTTTCCTGAAAAAAAGCACTGGACAAGAGTATTAACCACATTCTTTACTCTTAACAATTGGTAAGTTTAATAATTAGACTGGCTCGCATAAATATTTTAAAATTTTTATATTGAGTATTTTCATAGCAAGCTATTCAACCAACAAACTTTAATCGGTAACCGCTTAAAATTAGTTTGTTAACGACAATTTTTCAAGCGAAAAAAACTTCAAAATTTAAGTTATTCTCACAGATTGAGTTTTCCTTAGCAAACCTTTCGAGCTATGAAACTTTATTTTATTATGTTATTTCATTACTCGAACCGGTTGCAAATTTTCACGCACGGTTTCAAGTAAAAAACTGGAACTAGTTCAGTTTCTGCATTCAAACAACTTGTTCGAAAAAATTGTGAATCTCTAAGTTACGTTTTGGTTATTTTACTAAAAGAAAAAAGTTGTTGTTTTAAAAAGTCGCCTTCTTCGAATAAATTTTGCTCCTAAACCGCCTTTTCAAAACTTGATTTGAAATCGATTTTTATTGATTTTGTTTAATAATTAAGTTTCACTAATTAATACTAAAAATTCAACAAAATGAAAACTAATTTTAATAGTACAAAAAAGGCCATTACTCTGAGTTTTCTGTTTTAGAGAACAGTCCATTTAAATTGCACGTTCACAGACTGATCAATGATGGACTTGAAGATAGGATAGAAGTAGTTTACACAATTCGCTTTTCTTTCTGATCGAATTTCTTTGCCTTCATTTTCTTCAGAGTAAGAATAAGATGACGAACAAGTTCCTTCAAAGTCTTTCACATCACCTAAAACAAAAACTATAATAGCGAAACAATTCTTCCTAGACTACTACGACACTCGACTAAGCGACGTTATGGAACTAAATTTTGACATTGATTGCTCGTCGACAATAAATTCGGAATTTCATTTCATTATTTTGCTTTCGAGCTTAGTATTTTTTTTTTCATTTCTTAGGTATTTCAATTTCAGGTTATATGTTGTATCCAGTATCCCAGCCAAGACAAAAAAACACTCCGTTTTTTATACCATTGTTGAAAATACACTGAAATCCGAATTATCCATATAATACTCACAATTTACTTTCATCGGTTGCAATTTGGTCATGTTGGCCACGAACAAATTGAAAGCAATGTCTTCACAATTTCTGCTCTCCTCTATGAACGAGAAAGAGCTGAGCTCAGAAGTTGCTTCGTCTTCGAAATTTGAAAACCTCGTTTGCGAAAAGTGATCGAAGTAATATGAAAACTCGATAGCAAACTTCTTGTGGTAGAACATAGCACCTAAATAACAAAAAATTGTCAACACGATCATGTTAACATTCTGAACGAGATCAAATTGTCAACACGAACAGGTTAACATCAAGATCAAAGTCTGAGAGACCATTGAATAAAAACCTAGCCAATCGAAGATTGGAAAAGAGTAATGAACGCAAGTAAACATAAAAACAAAAATACTTCCTTTCTTGAAAAAATCTCAACTTTCGAATTTCACACAAAAAAAACAGATGCCCTTTAAGCTCTTTGACTTTCTCGAAAAATTTATGATTGACGCTTTTTTGATAACATGAACCCAACTTGACAAAACTGGATCAATAGGTAAAGTTTTTATTCCGCTGGGAAATCTTAAAAATAAATTCTACTTCGGAAACTAGCAATCCTTCACATTTTTTCGCGCCATTTCCACGTTCGTATTTGGAGAGTGCTATAATGTCACTTTCAGCAGATGAATTTCAATTGAACACAAAAAGTGCATTATACCGAATTGCATCAATATTTTAAGACTTTTTCCTGAAAAAAAATCAGCAAGACCTATATAAGAGTCTTCACTACGTTCATTACTCTTAAACAAAAACAGATAGAAAAATGTAGCTTTCGAAAATCCTTTAACAATGAAATATTTTGCCCCTCAAGTACTTTAAATCTGCACTTTTACAGCTGATCAATAAAAATTTAGGCATGTAGGCTAACGGTTAGTCGCAAGCTATTAGGTCGAATAAAAACATAGAGGGACACTTTTAGCTCGTGAAATAATTATTTTTGATGAAAGTTTGGCGATGTTTATAACTCGCATACAAACCACCATTGACAAGCTGCTCTTTTAAAACCTTTACGAAAAGTTAAGACTAACATCTGACATTCAAACATTGGCATTCACAAAGCTATACAGCAGGAAATATTTAAGCAAAAACATTTTTCCACAGCAAGAACATTGAATTCAACATCACATACAACCCCGCATTCACAAGATCTATCAGGATTGTACAATCAGAAGACAGAGGCGAAGAAGAGCTTCGCAAACACTAGCGAGAACACGACAAAAAGCAGCTCTATAAAGTGCAAAAAGAAAAAGTAGAAGTAGCCTCGAATCAGCCAAAATTCGGCTATGACTCGAATTCGAACTTACTACGACCTAGAGATTATGAATCTCACGCACTATCCACTCAGCCACGGACGCTTAATTCTAACAAAAGACGCTTAATTATAACAAAAGACAACTAAGTTTATACAGAAGTCACAAGAAAAACTTAACCTTGAAAAGTTTAATTTTGAAAAGAGACATTTATACACAGAGGCGAAGCTGCACTTCGCAAACACTTGCGAGAACACGACCAAAAAGCAGCTCTATCAAGTGAAATTTAAAAAAAGTTGAAATAGGCATCAAATTAGCAAACACTCGGCTACGTGTAGGATTCGAACTTGCGACCTACTGCAATCAAGAGACTTTGAGTCGCACGCACTATCCACTCAGCCACGCAAGCTTAAGAACCGACAAACACTACTCACACATAAAGCAGCTACATATGCTAATAACTTGCCAATGCGATTCACTAAAAATGACACCAAATACAAAAAGACTCAATTTTGCATATAATAGCTTGGAATATAACAAACTGAAGGCATCTACACTAACTTAACATATAACAAACCGCAAAGCATAAAAAGCCACATTTTGAATAAATTATGCATTTTAAAAAATTGCGAGATATATTGAGTCAGAAAATTTCTGAAATCGAGTTTTTATTATTGTTATGTTGTTTGAAACAAATGACTTTTTTCGGTTCATTTGATGAATTAAAAATTTTAACTTATTACTATTCGAATGTCAAAGCACATACTATCAAAAAGCTGTAAAGGTGCCCAAACATTATTGGGGCGCAGCACCAATATTTTCTACTTATGTTGGAAAATAAGAAGGTTCGTACTAATACACTCGCTTCGCAAGTATAACACAGAGGCGAAGCGTCGCTTCACAAAGACTTGCGAGAACACGACTAAAAAGCAGCTATCAAGTTAAATAAGAAAAAGTAGAAATAAGCCTCGAACGAGCTAAAACTCGGCTCTGTGCAGGATTGGCATCTGCAACCTATTGCAATCAAAAAATTTGGAGTCTCACGTACTATATCCTCAGCCACTCAAGCTTAACAACCGACGAACACTAGTCACAAATGAAGCAGCTACATATGCTTATAAATTGTCAATGCGATTCAGCACCAAATACAAATAGACAAAATTTTGCAATTAATAATTTGGAATATATCAAACTGAAGTCATCCAAACTAACTTTACATGAAAAAAATTGCAAAGCATACAGCCACATTATGTATGAATGATGCATTTCAAAAAATCGCGAGATATATTGAGCTAGAAAATTTGTGAAATCGAGTTTCCATTATTGTGATGTTGTTTGAAATAAATTATAAGTTAAGATCATTTCGTGCTTTTACACTTTAAAAAATGTTAAGTCTCCAAAAACTTACCAATAGCAACAGCAAAAAGAGGAGCGCAACTCGAATCGCAAAACGGTAGGATCTTAAGTAATTGTATTCTTTAGAAAGCCTAGAACTCACAATCGACGTGACGAAAATTCGTCGCAAACGACAATTCGAAGCAAACAATTCGTCACAAATAAAAAAGCGAAAATACGTCGCAAACTAATACAATCAATTTTCATCGCCTAGTAGTTTCGCGAAACATTCCATATCAAGTTCCACAACCGCTAATACATGGCCGTATGGTTGCTGTGCCTTTCTAAATCAAATTATTTCAAATTATTATTGAAAAGCTACCAACTGTCGCCTCACGCTCACAATCATGGGATAGGAAAATCTCATCAAACACGCTCGTTACTTTTTTTGCAGCTGTAAAACAAATTCCAGTTTTTTAAAGAAAACTCATTCGCAGAAGTTGTTCTCAGCCCTTAATAATCTACACATTTATAAGTCATTGGTACAATTTTAACTTACCGGTAGAAACAAATGATAACCCAGAGGAACTCTTTTGACTCTGCGTATTTTCCGTCAATTCCCACTGAATCTTTTCTTCATTCCATTTTTTGCTCCACCCTACGAAGCCCACAAGTCTGTTAGAGTTTAATTTCCAAATATCGAATGCATTTTTAATGTCGTGCGACTTCAACCCCGTCATGTCATCGTCCAATGAGAGCACGGCATCCGTATCAATATCTTTCAGAGGCAGAAACCTGAAAATATCTATGATTCCTATGCAGGTGTAGCTATTCTTCTGCATTGATAAAATGGGTTGATTATTGTTCCGACTATTGAAAATGAGGAAATTTGTATTTGGGTGTTTTAATTTTTTTTCCACGCAAAATCAGGTACACGAATAATCATCGAAATGGGTCGAGTGACATATCATAATGAAGCGCTTTCTGTCGTGATTCAAACGCCATATCCGAAACTTTGTCCCAGTGTTGAAAAACATTGCTTTGACTTTTTTGAGATGTCGTCTAATTCGAGCAAGTAACGCTCGCTATATGGGATTTTTTTTCAAGATTTAAAATTTCTAAGGATAAAAAAACTTGAGTTTACAATAAAGAAAACAACTTTTGGATGTTTTATTTAGCGCTTATTTGGCAAAAAAAAGTTTTCCAAAATTAAAGTTTTTTTTAAATTTTTCTATTTTTTGTTTGCTCTTCATTTTTTGAAGACAAATGTTGTCGATTATACCGAATTCAAAATTTTTCTCCGCGATTGTATAGTTCGCGAATCACACCACCCTCTAAAAACGAAACTGTTTCAAGAAAAGTAAAAAAAAAACTTCTTTTTTTATGAACATGGTCGGAACATTCTGTGCTACTTGCATAGCAACCGACTATCCTTGTTTAGTTTTTGATGATACTTTGAAAAATTATCTATTTCTTCTACTATGTTCATAATTCGGAGTCAAATCTTCACCAATGTTATTAAGCAGAAATTGGTCTCCGGTTCTTTTTTGTTTTGCATCAATGTATTCGGAGCCTACATTTATTTTTTCGTTTTCAGCTAAGATTGCTTACCTGTTTGTGAGTTTATTGGACATCATGTTGACCACTTTGAGTGGTTTGGGGAGAGGTGGCCACTTGTTCACGACATTGGCAGCTGGCGAGGCATACTTCACCTCATTGTTCCACACAATTAACACTCTCGACAACTCACTCACTTCCATCACCGTCTAATCATTGAGGGTGTTTAAATTATCCGCAGAAGCGCTGATTTAAATTATCCGCACAAAGTCGCATTAAACTTGAAATTTAAAACGCGCTATTTACAATATGTGGCAATTTATTTTGCAAAATTCAGCCCAAAACTTTACCCAAAGGGCTCATTTTTGGCTTTTTTAGTCAATGAAAAAACACCAAAACTACTAAGTCGATCACTGACATAATACATCAAAGTGAGCCTCTTATGTATCCCAGCAAAATTTAAGAAGGACATAATCTCCAAAACATTGTATAAATTAATTAATTTTTGTTTGATAGACACAGAAGGTTCTTCGTACTATATTTTTAAACGTTTTCGCAATTTTTTGGAGAGTATACCCTTGTTAACGTTTCTTGGGCTACAAAAGATGCTCACTATGATATAATCATGACAGTGATCGATCAGGTAGTTTGGCGTAAATTTCAATAGACTACAATTTTGGCCCCGAATGTTTCAAAACAGTTTTCATCATATTCTTTCTATTGGAATTCTAAGCAAGTTATTGCTTCATCTTTTTGTCTAATGTCAAAACTTTTAGAGAAAACGCGTAGTGAATAGAGGAAACTTTTTAATGAATGTCCGAATCAAAGGGACACCAGAAGTTTTTTCGTAAATAACATAAAAACTTGTTGTTAGTCACTTATTAATAGTCTTAATATACACATTTTGAAAAAAAAGGAGGTTATATCTATGCACTGATTTTAGGATATTTTATATTAACCAAATTTTCTGGTTTTTATAAAAAGCATGACCCTAACCTTGACTAATTGCAATAGACACTCGGGTCGGCTGTCATCGTGTGTCAGAACCACAGCTGTAAATCTGGACATTCCAATCGGAGAAACAGAGGGCACAGATAAAGGAGCAGTGACACTCGAGATAGATCGGCGTTCAAGCGATGCACTTTCGCTGTTAACCATGTCATTTTGCTTGAAAATTTCAATTCTCTTCCGAATGATGTGTAAAGTATTCATCACAACTGCATCAATGCTCGAAAAATATTCATTAAACACTTCTCGTCCTGTGAAAGAACATAATTTGGCATAAATAAAGATTCGGAATACCAAAAATACGTTCTGGACAATATAAATCTAAATTCAAGGCAAACTTACACAATCTTCTAGTTCCGATCGCCGAATGACAGCACGATTTTCGTGTTCGGGAACGTTTTGAAAATAATGAAAAAGATCGAGCTATAACTCATTTCCAGTGAACAGTCGTGATTTGAACCCTCCCAAAAAATACTCGACGTTCAGAAAAAACACTCGACGGGTCGCACTTTACAGCATTTTAGATTAAATTGGACCGAAAAGAAATCAAAAGGATAAAATAGCGACAAAAACAAGCACGATGAACAAATTATTCTTTTTGTGATAAAAACATTGGATTACTGTGGTCAGAAAATTGGTATCTATTTGCACAGCAATTGGCTATTCTTATTTTTTACCTTTTAATTGGAGCTTTTTTATCCTCATTGGCTGTATTTCAGTCAAAGCGCTAAATATCTGTTCCCAGTCTGTTTGTCCATTAAGTATCACTGCCGTTTCTTTCCAGTCGATAAGTGAGGCAAAAGGAAGCACAAACATGGATGACGTAATAACTGGTATGCACCCAGTCGACAACGCAAGACTCAAGTCTGTTTGCTGATACCATGAATCATGAGGCAATATGCAAAACTGAGACTGGGACATAGCTGTTTTCAGGGACACTAACTCAACGCCACTTTCTAGTTTGTTCCATGTACAACGGTTCTGCACATGATCTGACCTGTCTTCACTTTTCTTCGAAGAACAGAAGACATTCGAGCTAATGTCATCCTGATTTCTCGTTGAAGCTGATTGCCAAAAATCGTTCAGCTGAAAATAGTTCAAAAAGTTAAAAATATTATTTCCATATGTTGCAAACACTTTGGGAACAAAATTACCTGTTCAGTTTTTAGCCCAGTCGCTAGAATAAATGTTTTGCGGATTTGAGTTCCTACGACGTTTAGATTCTCAGCTGTGTTAACAAACGGGATAGCGACATCAAACTCAGGTCTGATTGAATACTGAACAAATGCAGTTGAAGCAACCATCGCAGAGCCAAATATGTTTTGTTCCTTTTCATTTCGGATTTTAAGATAACCATCCTGTTTAGGCGGGAAGATGTTGAATAAAATTGTGTTTGAAGAAAATTCGAATAATTCTGGTTTCCATCTGAAAAAAAAATATTATTAGCTACCTTCAAAGACTTTATCAAAGGACAAGCTTAAATTAGAAAACAAAGCCAACAGACAGTTAGAAGAGTCATGAACCCACGGAAAAAGAAAAAATTTTAACTTTCGAAACTCAAATTTTAAAAAATATGACCCTATATCCCTTTAAAATTCTTAAACATTTTATAAAAATTTTTACATGACACTTTTTATATTTTATATATGACACTTTTCTGATAAAATTAGCCCAATTTGAGTTAAAATTTTTATTCCGCTAGGAAATCTGAAAATTAAATTCCCTTTTCGAAACAGCAAGGTCAGAGGTCGATCACAGCGTGCGGCACAAGTATGATAGTTGGGTCCCTAAGTTTGGATCGGGCCTGAGGAGTTTTTTAGGGCTGAAAATCGTCCGAAATAAGGTGAGCTGGAATTTCATTATTTGTGTTTTCAAAACTTTCTCAAAACTCGCGGGACCCATCTTTCATACATGTTTATTTCAGGGATCCAACTATCATACCAACACTCAGTTTGCCATTACAGTCAATTATTTAAAAAAAGACCAACTTTAGTCTATCTATCTTCTTATATATTAAATGAAAATCTTAATGCGCTATGGACGCAATGTTTTAAATTTTCTATCGAGCACAACGTTTAAGAAATCACTCTCTGGCGAGAATATTCTAGAGCTTTTTTTATCGGCTGTACGAATTCTCGCCTGATTGATTCACTTTCCGAACTTAGACAAAGTCGTTGTACGCATGCATTGCCTGCGTGCTAAACTATTTGAAGATATATTTATATTTACGTTACCCTCCTGGGTTATTTTCAAGTTTGTTAACCTGTCGCGCTGCGATCAATTATTCAATCAACTTTTGGGTCTTTTCTGCTATACGGTCCATATAGAAAACACCAATAAATAAAGTAGGGATCTCTTTAACTATCCCTCCAATGAATAAAACCATTACGACCCTTTTTAACATGCGACAGAACAGTAAAACGGGGTACCCAAGGGAGGATAGTTAACGGGATCCGAAACTATCGATTACAGAAAACACCGAATACAAAAAACACCGATTACAGAAAACACTGAGTATAGAAATTACATAAAAGACCGATACGGCCCAAATTACGATGTACTAATTAAGGGCACAATAATACCGATGAAAGTCCAAAAACAGAAAATACCGAATTCTGGCCAAAATACAGAGAAGACCCCAACTTTTATGTCCTTCACTTCTGATTTTCTTCTATGTGTTCTTCACTTCTGATTCACTTTATTATGTTTCTCTTATATGTAATTTTTTCAACCTTCTCATTTTTTATACCAGAGGTATATTTTTCTGACATTGACTTTACTTTGTCGCCTTTGATTTTAATTTTTTGTCTAAGTTTGCATTGAAAAGAAATGTTACTTGGACTGAAGGTTAAATCTTGGCATGATTTCATATACCTAAGTTTTTTCATCACAGACGAAAGTTATTTCGAATGATAGATTTAATGAAAAAAAAGGTACCCGTTTAATTGTGGGACTGAGTTGATACTAATATCGTTTTGTTTACTTTCCTAATCTGTTCATTTTTGATAAATTGCCAAAACTGATACCTAAAAGGCTATCTAATGCCTCCGAAAAAGCAGTCGCAGTTAATTATAGAGGCCTTCACAAAAAACTTTTGGAACCAGATCTAAACTAGTATTTGTCATTGGTTATTATTATGATATTTTATCTCTATAAAATATTAAATACTAACCAATCATACTCCATCAAACTAACAACCTATTTATTTGTAGAGTGTTGAAACTACTTGTAGTTTCAACACCAGAACAATTTGAAGTAAACTTAGAATACAGTTGTTCTCATTCTGGAACTAACTCGCGCAAACAGGTGAACACTAGACCTATTGAGACTAGGAGATATAAGAGTAAGATTAAGATTGGTATTAGACTAACAAGTTGCACGAATCTATCCGGTCGAAAATAACATAGCGTGACGAGCAGACGGTGTACTTTATCTGAAATTACTCTATGAGTACAGTACAAAATACATAACTCATCTGGTCCGACCAAAAGTCTCGAACAGACCTTAACTAACCTAAAATTAGACAAAAACTAGATTAGAAATTAGAGAAATACAACATTTCATAAAAATGTTATTTGACAAAAACTTAGTAGATATGTCTCTACGCCTCAATAGATCAGATCCAATATTCTGAACAATACGAGACCTACCCGGTATTGGAAGAAGACGTCCAACAAGAAACGACATACGAATAGGAAGAAATCTACCAATTGATTTCATGATAGTACGACAAAAACGAGATCAAACTTTTATATTTAGTATACTACCAGCAGTAAATTTAAATTTTCATTTACTGACATAATTTTAGAAAAACTACTTTCAAATAATCTTTCATGTCGCTAAATCTAATAATTACACAATAACGACTGATAAAAACAACACCTGTCGTTTTCCTTAAATCAGCTGTAAATTAAATAACATCTTGAAAAAACATTTATTAAATATAAAAATACAAAAATTAGTTATATAAATCATAAATTGTTAGTATATATAATTCATCACATCATCATAGCTTCATCGACTAAAACAAAACAGCGAATTTCTAAAACTAACAATCATCAAAACTAATACCTAACCTTAACGCTCTAATTTTAAACCATGAAGGCTTATCATTACTTTCACTTAAATTAATTTCATTTAAATAACAGATCATCAAGGCTTCCCTTGGATCTTTAAATTAAACTATATCTCAATTTTTAAATTTCTAAATATTTAAATATCTGATCATCAAGGCCTATCCTTGGATCAAATAGAACAATTTTGTTCTCCCCCTCCACATTTAATTAGTGTCTAACGACCTCAAACGTCGATTCACTACCCAACCCTTGTCAAAGACCCAAAATTAACAGAAAATTTTCAAAAAAACTAACCATTTTAATTAATCAAACAGTGAAAAACTTCGGTTACTCATCCTTCACTTGATCCCACTCCTCTTAGATGACCCAGGCTAAAACACTTAAACTTAGTAAGTTATAAAATAGTATCTAACGAACTACTTGCGTTCTACTTATACCTGAACCTTGTGGATCGATTTACTATTCGCCAACCCTTGATCACAAATCACAACCCCTAAGTAAGATTAGGTAGGTCAAATCTTAGCTTAGAATTAGTCACGATAAAGTACAAATCATTCTTCGGAATCGATATACGCTTTTCTCTCCAACCCAAATATACGACCCAAGTTAAGCTAACCACAAAAAATCGTAAGAACTAACAGTTTAAGGCATTAGAATCACTAATCCAGATTTTGCATCCATCATCCTAAGACTTATGTCAAGAGATAATTTAGTAAACAAACAAACAATCATAATACACAATTGTTTAATTAACGACGAAAAATACGACCTCGTAATCACACCACAGACAATCAGCAGGGTATATAAGAACAAAAAGACAAACACTAAGATTAAAGATAATGAACAAACAAAAACAAATTATTAGGAAAAGATTTTCAAAACGAAGAAACGCAGTCTCAGAATCAGAAACAACCGCAATACACTAACTTCATAATTTAAAAGACTCAATAAACAAAAATCACCAAATAGACGATCAATTATATTTTACAGATTCAGAAACCACGTCACCAGCATCAGTGAAAGCAAACGGAAAATAAAAAATTGCTAGACAAACAAACCAATACGTTTGTACAATTGGAATCAACCGATAAGACACATTGAAAATTACACATTAACAGTAATACAACACAAAAATGATTCGAAATGATGATAACTCAGAAAATTCATTACTTCAATTTTTAATATCAACATTAACTGAACCTCGCGGACAAATAGAAATTTGTAAAAACTTAATTGCAAACTTATTCGAAAAAGGAGAAAGCCCGTGCACAAAAGAATTTCACGATGTAAAAATCAAAAGAAAACTTCTCGATCACTATATCAATCGATATTGAATTTTCGAAATTTTCTACACAATACATCAAAAACATACAACACCAAAACTCAAAGAGCAAACTCGAAATTTACAAACGATGTATTCTCACTTATCTATGACTGTTTATCTATACTAGAACTGGATGAACCTCAAAGCGATTCACCTGCTCAAACATCTCGACATACAATTGTACGACAGGAAATACATATTTTCAAAACTTCTAGATGCAATTCGAGAAAACCTAACAAATGATCAAATAACACAAAATGTTAAACACGATTTACAAAAAACCTTAGCATGGTTTATAATCGACTATTTTAGTCACAATAATGATTTTATTGAACAAACAGAAAAAATTTTCGACCACAAAGTACAGATGACGAAACTGTACTTGCAGAACAATCAGACTATGTATGGGACCCCGAATGGTCTTATGAATTATTTATCAATATACCAACAGATATATCAAGTCAGGCAATTAGCATTATTTCTATTAATAAAGATTATGTTAGAGTATATCCACTTACAGTTGACGCAACACCTTTAAACAGGAAATAATAGTTTAAATTCTACATTTATAAATAATTATAATTTAAACGGAACAAGAAATCTTACACAAGATATACAAACCACATCACATTTTGTAAACGAAGAAATTGTTGAAACAATAACAACAACAGAAGCACAACGAAGCAGTTCATCTATTCAACCAAATTTTACAACTCCAAAATTAAGAAATCCAACGTTACAACAAACAATCATACAATCCACAGTAAAACCCTCTGTCGCACAAAAATATTCACAAATGGATTACCAAACGTTTCGATCAGTAACAAAACCATCATACAAACAGCACAGAAAAAATTTTGCAGAACACAATTACAATTATGTAAATGGACCAAAAACGACAAAAAAGTAAAACAAATACTGAAATATTTGCACAAAATCAAAATGTATCACAACCAACCTTAAGCTCAGTAAATTTTCATAACCAACCACGATCCTCACAAGAACAAAATGGAAACTACCCATTT